TCAATGGGCTACTTTCCATACTCTAGTAATAAGCAATGTAAATATTGAAAATGCTGGCATGTTTGTCTTCTTATAACGCTAATGCAAATTTGTAAAATAACAGCTAAATTTCATAATTGTATGGAAAATCATATCGTAGTAGTCAAAGGGCAAATAAGTTAACTACTAGGCACACGGGAATAGGTTTAATTTACTTCACACTGTGTTATTTTACAGGGGATAACGTCAATTTTAATAATATTACGAAATCTGCACTAAATATATTGTTATCAGACACCTACACTAAACTGTTTGTGAATCATTTGAGTTTCTTTGAATGTTTATGATTACTTATTCTATGATAGGATATAGGTCTCTAGGTTGGACATTAGACATGCTGTGCGTGCTGAACACACGAAATGCAATTTTGATCAACTAATAATTAGAGAGCCATCTTAACTAAATGATTGTAAATTTTTTGAGATAAATAAAGTTTTAGAAAGATGGAAAATCATTGCAAGTATAGCAATATTTAGCGTTTAAGTAGTTGTTGACGCCATATGCATTACAGAAATGCACTGCAAGTGACAGATCTGATGACCTAGACCTATGAAGGTATAATTACCTACTTCTGTTATCAAACCTATAGTAACTGTTCATTCTTATATTTTTGTGTGACTTAATGGTTACACATACTTCACCTACTGAGATTCCATTATCTATGTAGTGCACTTTGTACAGTTGTTTAAAAGGGACATCAAGACGACTTGCTTATAGCAAAAAAAGTAATGCATTGAGGATGTTTGTACCTAACAATTAGAAATTCTTATTGGGGTGCAAAATATTTCAAATTATTACCGGATAGATGCTTAAGAAGGGTATTAATATATTATCTAAACCTAACATTTCATTTACATGAAAATTTCGGGAGGTTTCCATGAAGAACTTAACTTAATGATTTCGAAAAAAGTTGCCGAGAGGTTTCAATCGATAATTTTAAATGAGAACTAGCAAACCACGAATTAACATGACCAAATCTTTGAATAAGTAGTTATTAGGTATCACATCAAGAATGTACCAAAACAAAATGGGCAATAACACTATAAACATTTACATAAAATCATAAAATGATTTAATTCAATATAAAAACGTTGCCACAGAAATTCAGTGGCTCGTTTTTCACCAGTTCCACGCTCGAGTCTGTTGCTGACGTCTTTAATTAATGCCCAATTCCCCAGCAAGCCGCATCGACTCAAACGCAACTGGGTGGAAGATGTATTGATGACCGAGGTCTCTATATTTATTAATTTTCCGACGTTCAGCCTCAGCAACCGCAGCACCGCTCTAATGGTAGAATTCAAGTAACTAGGAGCTAGCGGACTACCACAGTTACATCCCACTCAAGGGATCGCCCTTTTCCCCAAGGAATTGAAGTAACACCATCTGACCTCTTATATCTCTAAATGTCCCACATGATTCAAGAACAGAGTGAATTTGTAAAGATGCCAAGCTTCGTTACAAATTTTTCTATATAAACCTTGTTTGATATTTTATTTCCCATAATAAGTAAGTATTGAGTTGTTTTTATTTCAGAAAATAAATGAGTAACGAAAAACAATTGAATTTTTGGCAGTGCTCCTTTTCATTATTCGCATTTGATAGATTTTTGTTCTCTTTTCGATGATATAACATGTTAATGCCCTTATTCAAGAACAATTAAAAAAAAAATATTATAACTAGTTCAATAACATTAATCCAGATATCCTACATCAAAATAAAAAAGGGCATTACAACAATCCCGCGAGATGAGTAGATATATCTACTTAAAATTTGAAGTGTCCATTATATTACTCATATGTGATACGTCTATTACTAATGTTGGAGTGTCCAAAACTTGGTACTCGGGCATTTTTTGGGTAAAATTTTCAATAAAAATTTCAATTTACATAATTTGTAATATTGTATACCCTACTTAGGTTCTGCATAAAAAGTGTTTGATGATTCACTATTCAAGAATTACTTTCTTTTATACAGGGTGTCCCTAAAAGGTCTGTACAACGCGCTACCAGGGGTTCTTGGTATCAAAATAGGACGATTTAACCCAACTTACCTCTATCCAAAAGTGCTTCGGTAAGGCGCTATCTACCGCCAAAGATTTTTAAAAAAAAATCGTTATTTTTATTTTATCGGAAAATGGTTTTGCCGATTAAAATGAAATTCGGGATCTGAATGTCTAATGTAAAAAGGGTCTTTGTGATATCATCGTTTTGATTGTAGTTGCTATGTAGGTGGTAAAATACTGACCATCCACATCTGAAGAGGTCTAAAACTTTTTAACTACTATTTTTGACGGTTCTGAATTTTTAGACACTGGTAGACAGTTTACTTGCAAGCATTTTTTGTCTCTTGATGAATATCGCTATCTGTGATGGTTTACGAAAAAAAAATAATTTAGGCATGATGAATGGCATGCACCATACATGCGATTGTTCCTCAAAAAATCAGAAGATGGCTGTGAAACCTTAGAGTGTCGTAACGTTTGTTTGTTGTTTCTTAAACTTTAACAATTTACGTTTTTTTGCGACCATTTCCACGACAGTATCCAAACACTAATAGCATATCAGTTAACTCTGCGTTACTGTATTGAAAGGCCATATTACAATTTTAACAATGAAATTTTAAGTCTTCAAGCAAAATGTAAATTGTTAAAGTTGAAGAAACAACAAACAAACGTTACGCCACTCTGTTTCACAGCCATCTTCTGATTTTTTTAGGAACAATCGCATGTATGGTGCATGCCATTCATCATGCCTAAATTATTTTTTTTTTCGTAAACCATCACAGATAGCGATATTCATCAAGAGACAAAAAATGCTTGCAAGTAAACTGTCTACCAGTGTCTAAAAATTCAGAACCGTCAAAAATAGTAGTTAAAAAGTTTTAGACCTCTTCAGATGTGGATGGTCAGTATTTTACCACCTACATAGCAACTACAATCAAAACGATGATATCACAAAGACCCTTTTTACATTAGACATTCAGATCCCGAATTTCATTTTAATCGGCAAAACCATTTTCCGATAAAATAAAAATAACGATTTTTTTTTTAAATCTTTGGCGGTAGATAGCGCCTTACCGAAGGCACTTTTGGATAGAGGTAAGTTGGGTTAAATCGTCCTATTTTGATACCAAGAACCCCTGGTAGCGCGTTGTACAGACCTTTTAGGGACACCCTGTATAACCCAGATCGTTCATGATTTTGGGCTTTCTGTCCGTGCGTCCGTCATGATAAGTCGCGAACGTTAAGTAATTTGTATACACTGCTATTCATTACAAGGTACACAGGGATTTATGTGTATTATTTTTCCCTATGCCTACTTTTAAATAACAAAACTGTTCTGAAGGGCGCCTAATTTTATGCAACCAAAATAACTTCTTAAAACAAATAAAGATCTGGCTGCCACATTAATTAATTGGAATATTGTTGCTTTGGGTTTCGTATCGTGTGTGGTGTGCGAGATGAATCGCTTCAGCGACGCTTGGTAAGCGAAATTAACATTTCCGATGGCATTTTACACAGCGATAGCGGCCGAAAATGCCGCATGCTGTGAGTACTCTCCTTCGGCAGTCTGCTCTTGAGATATATGGAATTAGGTATCATGATAAACGGTCACGGACTATGGTTGGTAGAAATTAATTGTTTCATTGAGAATTTTCACTACAGTACCATAAAGGATATAATCAGCCCCCTCCCCAACCCCTTATTTTCATAAGGAATAAGAAAGAAGAGCGGTACTTGGTAGAGAACAGTTCCATTTGTTGCTATCTTTAATGAGAATACCATGAAAGATAAAATCCATTTCTACGCCCCCCCCCACGTTTCCCCCCGTCAGTCCCTGATCTAGAAAAGGAGTCGCGAGGGAATACCGTGAAGGGTAGGTTCAAAATCGCAGAAGTGGGTCCGCACGGAAAGACGGACGGACGGACAAAACAAAATTAATTAAAAAATGCGCTAAAAACTCTCTCTCTCTCTCTCTCTCTCTTTCTCTCTCTAAAAATCTTGTGGATTCTGTAAAGCAAAAGTTTCGAATGTCTTCTAAGAGCTTTGGTGAGTTTCAAGAACTAAATACGAGGGAAAGTCATTAACCAAATCAGAAGCTGCCTTGAGAAACCTGACATTAAGTGGCAGAACAAGCTACCTTTATAATACTCAAGTTACATTTGCCACATTCATACCCAGGAAGCCTTTAAATGGCGATTGTCCTCGTGTACAGCGGAAGAGCAAATTTTGGGACCTTTGAGAGCCTTTCATTTTAGGTCTTTGGTTTAGTAGGAATAAAAAATTTATTTTGGATTCCTATGCATAGGTACTTAACTGTTACACACTTTATAAATAGAGGAAACTTTAATTCTGAAAAAAAATTACTCTTGTATCCCTGATACAAGACGTAAAAATGATACTGCTCTTAATCTTTCATTACATTCTTGCAAATTATTTCATTATAATTACTGTAATTAAACGTAACATCATGATAATTTACTTCATTATCCATTAATTATAAAAAAAAAACAGTACCTGCTTTGTATCAAATGTCAATGTTGCGTTTTGAACTAAGGCGTACAGAATCAAAGCAAAATGCAAATGTGTGTAAAACATTAATTTTGAAATTGTGTTCTAGAGCTTCTGAAGAACTTCATTAATACGAAAATTAAAACGCACGAATTGTTGAAACGAACTAATGGGATGAATGAAAGTAAACAAAGACAAACAAGTCGCGCACGTCTGACCGCCGGTTCGGCTGACAAACTCCGCCCCGCGGCTTACGTCACGCATCGTCCCGTTCGGCCAATCAGAGCGCACCTTGCCATATTTGAAAAAAATCTGTATATTTTCGCGGAAGCGATAAAATATGCAGAACTTCCGCACTTGCTGAAGCAGAAGTCTGTTGCATCACTACCTCACATGAATTCAGCTGCTGTGCTTATTCAAAGACTCATGCATTTTTTTAACCAAATAGTAAACTGGAACATAAGAACTCTGGTGGACGTTGAAGTACCAAAAAAACTAAGAACATACCACTTGCAACAGCAAAGCATCAGCCTACAATTTGAAGAAGAGTTGTAGGCTTAAGAGCTTTTTATTGACAGTTCTTTTTTTGTCCATGGATAGGGTGAGAATTAAATCTTGCGTTAAAAAAATGTTCATCTTAATTTAAGTAAGCACCCATATTGATTTTTAGTAGGGAAATTATCAAGAACTTACCTCCAATACATGTTACCACTGAAAAAGTAGGTTTTTCCATTATGCCCCCAGACCATGGCCGCGTCCAGGTTACTAAGCGACGCGGGCAGACCCAATCGCGTCAAAGGTTTCGGATAATCTCGTTCCATCGTGTTGCCAGAGTACACGTAGTAATTTCTACCGACGAAAAACACCATCTTGTTATCGGGCCTCTCGTATACGGCGTCGATGTGCGTTAAATTTTTCGGCAGGTCCTTCCACATGCGATTAGTTTCGACGGGATATCCCGGCGCGAGACCCTTGTCGCTGATTCGCCAGAAATACTGCAGAGAGAAAAGGTTAGCGCGAAAATGGTTGACGTGTAAATGAGCGCTTACCCGATCTTTAAAAATGAAGACCTCGCCGCGAACGACGGAAATCGCGTCGTAACCGGTGTCGCAGGTGTTGGGCACGGAACTCTCCTTCGGGTTGTAGGATGGGTAATTGTCGACGGGGTAGCGCTGCGGGTGCCTACTGGAGTAAGTTGTGGTTTCGGGCCGTTTCGCCGGGTAATAACGCTCATCGGGGAGCTCGGGACGCGGTGGTGGTTTGGGTGGGTAATTCCTGTTACGGTGTGGGTTGTACGGGTACTTAACATCGGGAGACATCGGTTTTTTATGCATGGGTTTTTCCGTGAAGGTTTTTTTCGGATAGCGAGGATCTTGCGGTTTCTCTGGATAATAAGGTCTTTGAGGGTAATTGGGATAGTTATGGTTCGGTCTCGTTGTTCGGCGTGTTGGTCTTGTTCGAGTGGGAGGTGGCGTGGGACGTGGCGGCGGCCTCGTGGGCGGCGGCGGAGTTTGCAGAGGCGGATGATATGCAGGATTATGTCCCCATACTTGATCGGTAGGAGATCCTAAACATATAATTTAATATTTGCATTTTGCAGTCGAATGAAATGGATAGGTAATACCGTAGAGTGTCTGTATTCCTAAACGGTCGTCTTCAGGCAGTTCGTAGTTAAAGCCGTTTTGCATTCCCTGATACCAAGGGAACATCAGTGCTCCTTCAACAGAGGAATGTGACAGTCCTAGGGAATGCCCAAATTCGTGCGCTGCTACATGGAATAGACTGGTACCTGTAAAATAAAATGTATTCTTAGTACTAAATCATAAATGCCGCAAACATGTCTACAATACAACGGTGAAATTGTTGTATTTTCTCCACCACAATTTTTAAAACGCGCCCGGGACCCAACAATCCCAAAGCGGTTCGAGATAGATGAAAATAAATACTAGCTATTGTGACATACCCCTACGGTTAGGCAACACACCTCACATCAGAAATATCGCAGAATGGGAAAACATACGAAAGGCTCTGTATTATACACCAATCGTTCTGCGCAGATGCCGGGGAAACGGGGGTTTTCGCAAAGAAGTTTGGCAAGAGAGATACTTAGCGTTAACGGGACTTGGACCCAAGCGCTCGAGTGATGGCGGGTGTAGCGGGATGGCGTGCATGGTTTTTCTCAATGTTTATTTTGTTTCAAAAGTGCATTTACAGGTAGTAATCTCGTACTAACCATTAACCTTTGAATTTCATGTTACAATTTGTTATTTGAGTACCATTACGGAATCATGCTTGTTTGTTATACTGTACTGTTATGCTTTTGTATTATTTTATTAAGTATTTATTTATGAATTTATGTTAAACTGAAATGTGATTAATAATTAAGTTACTTATAACGGCCTTGGCCTGTTAAATTCCATAACATTTGTAAACAAAGCTTCTATCGCAACGGTAAACGACAGCAACTTGATCTATATGTCCATTTTGTATTTGAAACTATTTTCTAAGTTTGAAATTGGGTTCTTTTCGTAGCGCGTCTGTTATTTGACACAGATCAGCCGGATGACGTTAACAACTATATTATAGTGTGGTGTCGCCTGTATGATTCGATTAACAATTTATTTCCGTGAAGGGAGTACCTGATACACTTCTGATTCTTCGCTGCATACGTTGCTTCCCTATCTATCGTACCCGCTGCCGAACGGTGCGTTAAGCAATACAAGAATGGGGGTCCTCTAATTAACGTCTCATCTGTTTCGTATGCGATTCTGGTGGGGATAATCAACTTAAACATGAATACTGCTTGCGTTCTCACTTGTACTTTTCATGTTAAATTAATGGCAGCAGAGGTTGGAGTAGAGCCATGCCATATTGTGTTTTTTTCATACTTAGGATGTAACGGTACCCCATTTTGAACGGTCGGAAATTGATGGTTTCCCGTTAGCACCTTCTATGGACACTTTTTTCAGAGATTGTTTTTTTTTACTGAATGAGATAGAGTACCAAAAAGAAATTCATTTGAATGCATCGCCATCATAGCCACATTGATTCAGCGAGATATAGTTACTGGTGGATGTTTTGTTGCTAATTAAAGTAAAACATTTGATTTTGAAATCTCTCTTGCAAATTCATGTATAAATAGAGTGTGACACGTCAATATTTTTCTTTTTTGTCCTCTTATCTCATTCCGTAAAAATCCAATATGGCGCCCATAACAATTAAGGGAATAGTAGCCTGTAGCTTCTCCATCTAGCGTAAAATTCTGATAACAGATTCAGAATTTCCGAAAAAAGTGCCCATAGAAGGGACTAACGGGGACCGTCCATTTCCCACAGTTATTTTCAAAGCTTTCTAAAGTGTTTGTTTAGTCACAAAAAGGGGCAGGTTGGCTCTCATTCAACCTACACTGTATCTCGCTCACCGTTGCGGGGATCCCAATAGTGAGCCACAAATTTGATGCACCCTGTACATCATTTTCGGGTAGACATTTTGGAAATGAAAAAATAAAAAAGAGCATACCCAAAAAAATATGGGTGAAGCGACAAGTTCCATTTTCTTGACACCATTGAGATTGACACGCTCTTCGTCTTTTTTACAATATTTTCACGCCACTTCAACGCCTAGTTCAAATTTCTTCACGACTCACTCATGCTTCCCTGGTTTAGGCTTCTTCCATTGCCATTTTCTTTATGCCTCTTTCTGTCTCATTTCCCACTTTGATGATGATACTTTCTTCACATTTTTTCCGAAAAGGATTCCTTCTGGCTCTTCACTCCATCTTTATGAATAAACCTATGCCTCTATCACTCTCTTCATATTCCGATTCCTTACAGTGTTTACGTCCCTTTTTCTTCAGACATCCCCGAAAACCTTCTACATTTTACATCCTTCATACTTTACGAAGCGTTTGTGCCTACGTCAGTTTTGTCTTTCCTGCTCTTACCAATTTCTTCACGCCTCCTCTGTTCACACACCTTTTGCTCTTACAAGCCCTATCTCCACTTTGTCTAGATTTCTGTCCTTATCGCTTCCTACTTTTCTTCCGCCCCTATTAGCTTCGTACCGGTTTTTTAAACCCTCTCTGTTACGTTCACGCTACCTTAAATCTCCTTCGCGCTTTCTTTGTGTTTACCCTCTGTTACTCTTCACTTCTTATACACGTTTTTTCACTCGCACTTCCTCTACCTCTCCCTCGTTTACGTCTTATTTTTGTTTCCATGATAATTTTTACTGACACACTTCCTTCACTACACTTTTACATATCTTTCTTCACATTTCTCCTCTTTATGATCCATTTATCCTTCCACCACACATTATTTACTCCTCCTACGCCAAACCCTCCCCTTTAAGCAAATGTCGAGGTTTTTTAGGCCATATTTGTTTCCTTCCTCTCTCTATACACCTCTGACCCCCTTTCCCCTTGTGTTTTTCCTCAAATCTCCTTCACTCTCCATTTCCTTTCGTTCCTTTCCCTAAATTACGATTCCTTCAAATGTGCTTCGTTTTATACATTTTCACGTTTATCTTGTTCTTTGAAGTTAACGCTCTTCCTTTACACACATCTATCCTTCACGTTGTGAGGTTCCACCCTGTATATACAACTTACGACGGTGCACACATTTTTGAGAGTTGGCAACCACGACATTTTTAGGAGGGGAACGCTGTTTTTGCGCCATCCGGAGAGCGCGAACGTGGGTTACGTTTGGTATCTTGTCTTTAATGGCGGCCGTGAACGCGTCGCTCCATAAATGTGTTTTTATTGTGTTATTTAATGCAGGTAGTACTCTTTGCATTTCTTTATATCGGATTTGTGTTTTGTATGCAGCATTTTATATTTTTGTGATTTTCAATCTTTGTTTTTGAAATTGACTTGATTTAACCTTAATGCAGAATCACATATTTGATACCGTTATCCTTTTGTTTGTAATCGTTTACGTTTTTGGTGTAATGCTTGCTTAATTTCTGTTTATGTTTTAATTACATGGTTTTGACCAGAAGTAACATTCATATAAATTCTGATAATTTTATTTTAATATATGGAAATTACGGAGTTGTTTTGTGTGTGTACTGACTTGTTGTTTGTAACTAACATTTTCTCCGTGAATGAAGCAGTCACGGGGGTGGCAAAAACTGTAATCAAATTGAGTTACGACACCTAATTTCGTGATCGATTTCAACTGTAGGCTCGGAACCGAACCGAACGAGGGTCGAGTTATCTATCTTGCGGGGGCGAGATTACGCTAATCAAAACTATTCGGTTTAGAATCTCTTTCTTAAAATCTTGGTGCTTACCTGACCTATAATTCCCAAAACTTGTATTTAACCTATATGTTACCTCTTGAAGTCTACATGCTACTTATTTTGTTATAATATTATGTTACGCATTCACATCATTACAAACAATTAATTTTACAACACAATTTGATATTAATTTGACAGCTGGTTTTTTTATTGGTAAGTTCTTTTTTTCCCAGCCCATTTCTATTTTTATTCGGTGAACTACCACTTTCAAAGTTTATTTTTGCAATGTAATTTATTTTGACTTAAATTTCCGAGCTTTTACAATCATAATAATAACGATCATTATTAAACAAACTTTTCACAATTTCAGTGTTTTATTTTACGTTCCTTCCCTAGTGTACCTACTTCAGATCATAGCGTTGCTTACAACTAACGTAAGGGGACCCTGCCTTAGATGTTTTATAAATATCACGTGCATCTTTTCAAATTTAAGCGGGATCTTGTTTAGTTTTGGAGGGAATAGTCATTCGGGTGGCCATTTTTAAACATTGCCGGATTGACTTTATTTTCCGTGTTCTTGTAGTGTGAAGTTAGCGTAGAATCTGGGGGTTAAGTCTTTCAGGCCCTCTTCAAGATTTTTTTGATTCATCGTTCAAGTTCGCCTTCATTCTTCCTCGTGTTGTAGATTTCTTCACTCATCCGGATCACATATATGATTCGTACCTTCTTTTCGCGTTTTCTCCACGTGTTTGTTTCGCTACTTCCACGACTCTCATTTGCATCTCTTCCATGACCATTTTCTTTACGCCCTTCTCGTTTGCACTATTGGCGCTCCTCCACCACTTCTCCACACCTTGCTTTTTCAAGAATTCTTTCTTCGCACCTCTTTCACGCCGATCTGCTTCACTCCTTTCACACTTTTGTTCACGTTTTTGCTATTCAGGTCAGCTTTATGATTCCAATACACCCCTTTTATGTCTTCTTCTTTCCTTCTTCACGTCTTCTTTTTTAACGCTTTCTTGTCTTACACCTAATTTACGCATCATCCTTTAACTTCATTGTCTTTCAATCTATTTTCCTCCTCGCCTCTTTCTTTCATGTTTGCTCAATTTTTCCTCCCGCCGCTTTTCTACCTTCTTGACACAACATTTTCGCCCTCTTCTACTCCTCGACGCCCACGCCCCACCTCTGCCATTAGCACTTTCTTCTCGCCTCTTCCACAGCATGTTGCTTAACAAATCTTTTCTTCATGCTTCTTTCGCGTTGTACAGCTACACTTTAATACTCTTCAAGTCTGCTTTATCTACTATTCCATTATCCCCTTTAAAAAGGGCTTATTATTCATCTGTTAGCGCGTTCTCCCTTCACGCTCCCTTGACTTGCCGTTCGGGTCCTCTTTCTGCTACGTCTCCTTTCCCAATGCTTCGATCACGTTTTCTTCATCAATCTTATGAAATCTCCGAAAGTCGCCGAGTCATCATAAACCTGCCATGCAAAAAATAGTTGGATTGTGTGAGTCTGCAAACTGGGTCTCTGATATTCCTCTTA